ATTTTTATTTTTCAATTTATTGTGTTTGAGAGTTGTATTGATTATTAATTAAAATGACTTACATTAAAAAGTTTAATGATTTTTATTTTCTAAAACTATCAAAATGATCAACACAGTTTTCTGATTGAAACTGTGACACATTTTGAAAGGTTTCAAGTAAAATTTAGGTAATAACTACAATAAAAGTAAGGTATTCAGTTCGAAGATAGACTTACCAAGTTTTATTGCAAAAATCATCGTCCTTTACTCATTTTTACACACAACTAAAAGGTTTCCAAATATGTTTCTTCTGTTGTATGGATAATATCTAGACAATATTCAATTTTCTGCCATATTTTGTAACATCTGCAGTGTAACAGAAGCGACACGGTCGTATGTGTGCACACAATTTGTTAAGGTCATTGATTTTGGTCCCTGAAAGCCCATTTGATTGGCTCTGTGTTCTCATCCAACAGGTGGGGTTTCCCACCTATTGGATGAGAATGTTGTAAGTTTACTTTGGACAAGAACTGTTAACTTTTTAAAAATAAAATCAGCTCAATCTATTTAACATGAAATTGGCTGAATGGGACATTGACTGGTTTTGCTGTACAAATTTCCTTTGTAACCCATGGAGGACAAGCAATTTTATCTCCAGGTACAAAGAAAGAAGAAATTTTCAGAGTTTAGATGAATAGGGTTTTGTGATGGTGGATCCTTTCTAAACACATGATGAAAGTTTTCTGAACTTGCATAATGGAATTTGCCTCAGCATACCACCACACAGTTTGCACTTTATCTTAAGCTGATGCATGTCATCCACTACCAGGAAAAAATGTTTTAGTAGTTTAATTACTTATGAAAAATGTTAGTCAAAGTCAGAAAAGTTTAATTAATTTCAAATATAATTACTTATGATTTGTGTGTATTGTGGATTCAGTAATTATAAGGAAATGTAATGTATTTATTTAAATTGAAAAAAATTATTACCTAATTTATTTTAATATTTTGTTTTGGAAGATATTTTGTCATTTCTAAGGTTTTATGGCGTGTGCTTTATTTTTCTATATATTAGTCAAACTAACTTTTTCAGAGCTGGTGATCCTGGTCCAACCGCTGTCATGGCTGAAGAATGGAGTGTGCCTGACAAAATGGTTGGATTAAGTAAGTACATTAAATAATAAATTTTTGAATATTTTAAAGAAGTGCTTAATTATACTTTTGAATTTGAATTATTGGATTTATTTCGAAAAATATGTAACTGTCTGCATAGTTAATACTAACTATATATAAATAGTTTGAATGGAAAGCAGATGAAAAATGAAACAGCAATTTTAATTCTCGAGAATTTGCTTTAGAAAAAAAAAAAACTTAAGTTTTTAATATTGACTTAAAATTTTAATGTTAATTCCTTTAAATAATACAATCCATCATCAGATCTGATGTTTAACTGTTCTACAGTCCGTAAAACAGTTAAACATTTGGATTTGATGATGGGCTGTAATGATCCCAAAAAGTGATTACATTAAAAATTTAAGTTTCAAAACCATTTAAAGGAATTTTTTTTTCCTTTCCTCCTATTAAGTTTAACCATGGAATTATCTGATTCACTCAATTTTATGGATGTAAGATATTTTTTATCGTATTTCTTGAAAATAAAAGAACGATATACTGTTACAGAATATTAGTTTTACAAAGATACAAAGGTTGATGACAAACATCTGTGTTTTATTTGGACATTATTGACATCATTTTTAATGCACGTTTTAAAGTGTAGTTCTCTCTGAAAGAATTTTAAGAATTAGTAATGCCATCAATAAACTTGAGTATATTTTCTAAAAGTAAATATTTATTTGAAAGTATTTTAAGTTAAGCATTTCATATTGTATTTTGTATTCATACAGTTTGTATCATTATATATTTAATAACATAACTCATTCAGATATTTCCAAGTAAGTAGAATTTAGTTTTAAAGATGTAGAAAAATTTATATCTATTTTATGACATGAAATTTTCAATTTTATGGAGTTAATATAAATTAATATTTCTGGTTTTTTAAGAAGTAGATATTAATTTCAATATGTTAATGTATAAACTTCAGTATAAAATTTGTGAATGTTTTAAAAAGTAATATAAGAATTATAAAACAAGTGAAATAAGCAAGCATAGTTTATAAAAGAATTATATAATTGGGTGGGCTGCAATTTTGAAAAATTGCAGATCTATAAATTTCCACTGTCTTCTATCTTTCCTTAATCTCGATAACAGAGTTAGATAGATGAAAGATGAGACCATATATGGAAATCTTACGGAGAGGAGGCCCTTATATGTGAACTTCCAATGCAAATTAGAAGTCATATTATTTCAGTTCAAAATTTTCTTCTGAAAGTAGTTAAATGGAGTCGTGCGGATGACCAGCACGACAACTCCATTGGTAATGGAGAAGTATGATGTACAGGGGCAAGACATTACAGTACTAATTTGAGATAGACAGCATTTAATTTAAAGGAAATAAATTAAAAATTGCAAGTTGGCATTGTGATGATGTCACAATAAATAATTGCTCATTACTATTCATTTTCTTATTTTTAATTAGTGTTTATGGTTAAAAAATGTGTCCTAAATATTTTAATAATGGTTTTTGATTATCTTAAAACTGACCTTTTATTTAATTTATGCTTATAAAGAAGTGTTAAAAAATGTTTGTGATATTAATTTCTTCAATATTTGCATCATTTAAATTCAATAAATGCATTATTGCGCTGCAATTTAAAAATTGGACCATTTATTTTGAAAGTGGTGCAAGCCCATTTATTGTTGTTTCGAGAAAATTAAAGGTTATTATATTAGTCAATTCAAAAAATATAAATTATGTCAAGTCTGGCAATGTTTCTACTAATTTATCGATATGTAATTTGATTATAAATTTCTTTTAGGTAAATTTAACTAAAATAATATATATTTACAAGCTGTAAATGGACTTGCACTACTTTCATAATTATTAAACTCTAAACGTCATTAAATTTCAACTACGTAAAATTCAATTTCACTTGAAATACATTTGTTCTATTCTGATTTTGTTTAAATAATAACAAGAAATAAAATGGTGTTGTTTATTTTCAACATTAAAGATATTTACTTATTGTTAAAGTATTTTATGATAAACTTATCATTAGGCATTGCTTTTCATTTAGGCTCATTATATGGATGTTTTTCATTTCATCTATTTCCATCTTATCAAACTGTGCTTTTGTTGGTAAAATGCAGATGTAATTTATGGACAGTCCATAAGTGCTTAATTAGACTACAGAAAATTGACTTACACCACTTTCAAAATAAATGGAATATTTCAGCTTAATAAATGATGCAATATTAGAAAGTAATTACACACTGGATTATAAATGTAAAGATATGATATAGAAACAACAGCAAATTATCAAAAAAAGTTATGGAAACCAAATGTTTTGGTTTCCATAACTTTTTTGATAATTATTATTGTCTGTTTTAATGGTTTTAACTATAATGAAGTATGGACATTATTATTTAAGTTTGTCTGTTTAAAAATGCAAAAAATTGATATATAAATATGAATAGACTGTATCAACAAAATTAACAGTTGAAATAAACTATCAGAACTGAAAGATAATTTTCAGCTAAATTTATTTTAATTATTTTATGAAATTGTCACATAAATTAACTCAGTTTCATATAATGAAAAATTTGAGATTTAAGTTGAAATATTCAATACTAATTTTGAGAAACTTAAATAAAATTCTAATAAATAAAATAAAATATATATTTAATAGTAATTACTGGATTGCTTCTTTTGAATAAGATTATAACTAAATATTTTCTTCCATAATTGTAATTAATATTTCAAAATAAAATATATTTTTTACTTAACGACTAAATTGCAATATTTTGTTTTGGATAATTTGCAAACAAAATTTTACAATAAGCTTTTAATTAATAAGAAAGATTTCTTCAATGTAAAATGTTTGAGAAGTTTTTTAATGAAGAATGGGAAAGTACATAATAATAGTTTAACCATATGTTAAGTGTTTTATCACTATTTATATTTGTAAATTCAATTTCATATAAACCTACTTTGTGTTTTCTTATTTTATATTTATTAAAATATTTTCGATCAGTTTGTTGAAAATTATTTTATTGTCTCTAAATAGTTGTCAGACTTGCAAACTTTTCTTATGATTTTTGACAGTTTCTATTCAAATTGAAATTTGTTGGATTAAATTTATTTCTTATTTTGTACAAATTGTAAGTATTACATTATAGAAGTCTTAATTGAAAATCCATAACAAGAAAGACATAATTGTGAAGAGAGAAAGAACATAATTTATATGATGAAATGAAACTAAAGTTCAGAGATTACTAGAAATGAAGTTCCAGAGTAGGTGGTAGATTGATTTGAAGTAAATATGGCTAATGGGAATTTAGAATTACAATAACATCTTGTGTACCTGCAAAGTGATTCAGCACTTCAGTCAATTTTCAGGAACAATTGACACAATTTCTGGATTACTGTGGAAATTGAAACATTTCTTCAGCTTTGGGACAAGACAAAAAATTTTTTTTGTAACTTCAGAGTTTCTATTTAGTTGAATCAGATTTTAGTAGAATCACTTATCTGATATCAAAAGTTCAAAACAGATTGATGGGTGATCTTCTCTGTTCTTAATAGCCAAAGAGTTATGTTTAACCCTTTGGCTATTGGGATTTTCATTAGATGGTATATTGTGGCTATTACACTGCATATATAATATTACTTCNATCTCTAAACCTAGATTAATTTTATTTATCTTCTGGAATAAATTAACTAGACCCAGAAAGCAAGAAATCATTGTAAAATTTTACTTACCCATATGAAAAGTTAATGGCTTAGACATTGACAGAGATAATTATGACATATAATTGTGTCTAAACTACAATTTTTAATCTGTGATTAATTTTTTATTATTTTCTAAAATGCAAGATTTTATTACTATAGTAAATAAAGTTTTTAATTTAGAAATAATATTAAAAGTTAGCATTTTTTGAAATTAAGATGGAACGCATGCTCAGTATGATATACTGAGCATTCATTTATTTACATGTGACATCCTCTATAAAGAGGGTGTCATGTGAACATTGCAGTTGATGGATGGTCCTTCTCCACCTTTCACAGTTGTATGCTTTTTCCAAGCTTGAGCCAGTCCATTTTTTGATGATGTCCTACCACATTAGCTTGGGTCTTCCCTTTTTTTCCTTCTGCCTTCCATCATTCTTTGAACTGCAGTCTTCATCAGTTTCCCTGAGGATCTTCTTATTATATGCCCAGCAAATGCTGTTTTTCTTCTCTGAATGCTGACCATCAGATTTCTTTTTATTCCAAATCTGCTCATAACCATTGGTTATTCTATCCATCCACTAATTCGTTCCATTCTTCATCTTAAAGGAATTTATTCTATTGCCTCTTGGTTTATTGTCTGTGACTTGCATCTGTATGTAGCCACTCTCCAAATAATTGTTTTAAATATTTTTATTTTTAATTTATTGCGTACATTTCTATCTCAATACTGAGGATATTTGTGTGAAAGCAGTTTTAGTTTTTTTGTTTTTAATTTCATAATTACATCTGTTATCCTCAGTTATCCAACTTCCTAGGTACTCAAACATTTTTAGCTTTTCTATTTTCTTTCCATCCAACATAATCTTTAGATCTTTGTTTTCATCTCTTGAGATTATCTTAAGTTTTGTTTCATTCACATTTATTTTTTATTTGGTATCTTGCTTTTCCCACGTCTTTTAATCTATTTAGAATTTTCTGTAACCCTTCTTCAGCATTACATAGCAGAGAGATGTAGTTGGCATACCTAATTGTATTTATAACATGTCCATTAATTTTTATGCTTTTGTCTAGATTTTTGAATGCTTCTCTCATCATCCATTCATTGTAGATGTTAAAAAGTGTTGGGGACAAACCACATTCTTGTCTTATTCCTTTTTAATCTGAATTCATTTGGTATCTTCTCCCTGATATTTGACCATTGCTTTTTGACTTTTATAGATGTTGTAGATTATTCTCAGTAATTTTTTATCAATACTTTTTGCAGAATTGAAACAACGGCATTTGATTACCACTATCAAAGGCCTTCTTGAAGTTGACAAAACATACAAATAACTCTCTATTATGATCAGTCATCCTTTCTCTTATAAGTTGTATCATTATAAAGGATTTAGTTAGACTTCTGTAGTTCTCTATTCTTCACTGTATGGTGTTTACTAAAACCTTTGAGGCATGGCTTATCAAGCTAATAGTTCTGTGTTTATCACAGTTAAAGGTACCATCAGTTTTAGGAATAGGGATGAAGATAGATTTTCTGAAAACATCTGGAATATCTGCCTTGAAAACTTTGTTTAAAAAAATTAGTTAGGATTCTGAGCATTATATGTTTTTTTTTTAACTATTAAATATTTTATTGGCTTTTATTCCTTTAATATAAAATATTTAATTTAAATTCCGTATATACCATTTGTTTAATCAAACTACTATTTAAAAAATTTTATTATAGATGGTGCTCCAGAATCAAAAAAGTTAGCTCCGATGAATGATCGTAAGTAATTAGTTAAATTTCTGAATTGATGTTTCTAAATAAAATTTTTATTTTAAATAAAATAATTGAATTAAAATGAAAATATAATCTTATCAAGTGAAATTTATGATGCATTTATAAACTTCAAAATTTAAATGAATGTTACCTATTTTTTGTCATAAAATTCTCAGATTTGCTTTATTAATTTGGAAAAAAGCAAAATTTAAGTAGGTTTTTATTTGTATTCACTTAAATATTAAGTTCTGTCATTGAAATTGTTCTAAATTCAATAACTTTTAATTTGGGACATTTGTTTGTTAAGATTAATTGACAATGATTTATTGCAGTCTTACTAAATTTAACACTTATTTATGTCTTGTGATTCACACAAAAATGCATTTAGTCTGTGATGAATTTTTATCTGTTGATATTTTTGACACTTGATTAATGTGGCAGAAAAAATTCAGTGCTGTGCAATTATTATTATTAAAATAACTTAATAGAATTTTATTATATATTTAAAATTAATTTTTTACAATGGCATATACTTTGGTGATATATTCTACAATTAGTATGGAAAATAACTATTTACCTAATGTTTATATAATAAAAATGACTGAGCTAATTAGAAACACTTCTTGAATTTCAAACTTTTTAATTTTGAAGTTTAAAAAGTTGTATCGTATTGTATATCTGCTATGTTGCTTCAGTACAGAAGTAAATTAGTTACTCACTCTTTATAAAATCATAATATTTTTTACCATTCAGGGAAGTAGTTATTTTTTAAGATGATTACAGATCTGTAGATTGAAAGCTGCAAATGAATACTATTAATTATAAATAGTAAGATATTTTGGTTAAACATAAAAATCTTCTGATCAGCAGCAGTTGCATATTTTCTTCACCGTGTAGACAGTACTTTGATTATTTTTAAATTTGTTTGGTGAAATAATTTTGCATGACTATATATATGATTTGTAATATTTGTCCTAATATGTAACTGACATTTTCTTTTCTCCTAGCATTTGGGGCTCAGTTAGCAGCTATGCAACAGCAAAGGTATGTCTTTTGTGTTTAGTTTTCTTTTTCCATTTTTTATGGTTTGGATTAACCCGAGTTGAGAAATTTAAATCAATAAAAATTTATGTCAGAATAAAATAAAAAACTTGCTTACTTAAAAGCAATAATTCCTATATATATAAACAATTATTACTGTAAATAAATTTACATGATTGTATTTTGGTCTTCACCATTGCCCTAGAAAAGAAAGTCCTGTTTTAGTGCTACTTTGGGAAGTAATGTGATCAGATCATGAAATAGAATGAAAAAAATGTTTCATATGATTTGAAATTACTAAATTCAAATATTTGTGTTAATTTTCTTCATTGGAATTAAAAGTAATGGATTTGCATATGTTATGTAATTTTTATATTTAAAATAATTTGCATTATAGTGATTTAAGTTTTGTTTTGTGAAATACATTTGTTATTTTTTATATTTTTTCGTACATTTTAAAATCATTGAAATAATTACTGTTAAGAATTAGTATTTGATTAAATTTTTATTTTGAATATTTAAAATTTATCAAGAAAGCAGTTAAGTGTATGATATATATGCTTTAATGTTTCATGACTTCAAATTTACATCTGAAAATTCACATAACGTATAGATTCTTGATAATTTAAACATAATAAAAAATGGTAAAAGAATTTGATTTTTATCATATAATAACAAGCATTTTGGGAGTTAATATACCAATACACTGAAGAGATTGGTAAGTAACACTTCTACACTTATTTTGTGTAAATTATTTTTATTACTCAATAAATTAAAATTGTATAGAATTTACATCAAACAAATTTGATTCAGTATTTGAAAGCTGCTTAGGATTTTTATAATGGATATTCATTTTCTGACAAATATCAGACTTTTTCTGTTAACTCCTCAGTCTGTTTTTCACGTTGACCATTCAAAAAATGCTGATTTTGTCATGGATATTTGATAAAAAATATGAAAAAAAATTAGCCATAACATGTGTTATTTTCTAAAAATAAAATAATTTTATTTATTTGTTTGAAGGAAAAACTATCTGAAACAAGTTACAGATTTTTCAGATTTTAAAACAAAACTAAGTTTTTATGCGAAAGACAGCTACATAATTTCTATAACATAAAATCATCTATTAGAGAAACGCTGAAATAAACATACAACAGTGAATGCATCAAAGTTGTTAAAATAAAAATTTCTAGAACATGTTTTTCACCAAATGTATGTATCAAAGCCAAAAAAGCTATCACTGTGCATGGATAAATGGTATGCGACAGTAACTGAGAAGAGGTTAAATTTATTTCTTAATTTGGACTTAATTGCTACTAGCATCATATTCTTCAGTTTGCAAATATTCTTTAACTCTATCCATCAGTTCTACTTTGTGTGACTTGCATGCCACATTTATCAATTGCATATCTTTTGATTCTTTTTAATTTATAGTTTATAAATTTTCAATAAAAGTAGTAAATGATTATTCATATAAATTTTGATATTGATCTTCTGTACTTACATCTCTTGTGCACATGTAAAATTTTTATTCACGATAGTGAACTTTTGTTTGCTATTTAAATTTTCCTGAGAATGAAATTTATTTTTCATTCCTTAGAGCATTATAGTTTAATATAGTTGTACTTTGGGCTTTATCATAAGTAATTTATATAGAAAATGTTGATGTTAAATAATAAAGAAATAAAAAACACATTTATTATTTTCTAATAATTGATACATCAAGATAAATTTACACTAGTCTTTCTTTTGATAAGTTTATATTGGATGATTGAGTGATTGTCACTTTTTAAGTTAACTGTTTAATTAATTAAGCACCATAAATGATTTTTTTCTTCAATGTTTAAAAAGTCATTTTTTTAAAGAAAAAAGTATTCATATTAATGATAAAATCAATTAAAACAATATATTTTGTCAAATTATATTATACAAATATAATAGAAAAACACATCAATATTTTATTAGATTTATAAACAAATGATTTTTTTTAGTCAGAAATGCAAGAAATCAATGTTTTATAATTTAGTTTTAAATCCAAATTATTTTTGATATATTATTAACGTATCATAGCCAACAATAAAAGATTTACAAAGTAAACTAAAATAGAGAAGGATTTTAACTATCACTTAATAAAAGAAATCAATTTTTCTGCTCCTTTGCAGTATATTCTCATTTAATAATTGAAGTTTACTATTAAAAATCATAAATACTGTATATTTTACTGTTGATTTATATTAGACTGAAAAGAGTGACAACTAATAGAGTTTGCAAAAGTTAATGATGTATAAAAATACAAAATTGAATGTTTTACATTTATCCATACATTATCATCACACATTTACTAAATGTATATTTTTATTTTTCAATTTATTGTGTTTGAGAGTTGTATTGATTATTAATTAAAATGACTTACATTAAAAAGTTTAATGATTTTTATTTTCTAAAACTATCAAAATGATCAACACAGTTTTCTGATTGAAACTGTGACACATTTTGAAAGGTTTCAAGTAAAATTTAGGTAATAACTACAATAAAAGTAAGGTATTCAGTTCGAAGATAGACTTACCAAGTTTTATTGCAAAAATCATCGTCCTTTACTCATTTTTACACACAACTAAAAGGTTTCCAAATATGTTTCTTCTGTTGTATGGATAATATCTAGACAATATTCAATTTTCTGCCATATTTTGTAACATCTGCAGTGTAACAGAAGCGACACGGTCGTATGTGTGCACACAATTTGTTAAGGTCATTGATTTTGGTCCCTGAAAGCCCATTTGATTGGCTCTGTGTTCTCATCCAACAGGTGGGGTTTCCCACCTATTGGATGAGAATGTTGTAAGTTTACTTTGGACAAGAACTGTTAACTTTTTAAAAATAAAATCAGCTCAATCTATTTAACATGAAATTGGCTGAATGGGACATTGACTGGTTTTGCTGTACAAATTTCCTTTGTAACCCATGGAGGACAAGCAATTTTATCTCCAGGTACAAAGAAAGAAGAAATTTTCAGAGTTTAGATGAATAGGGTTTTGTGATGGTGGATCCTTTCTAAACACATGATGAAAGTTTTCTGAACTTGCATAATGGAATTTGCCTCAGCATACCACCACACAGTTTGCACTTTATCTTAAGCTGATGCATGTCATCCACTACCAGGAAAAAATGTTTTAGTAGTTTAATTACTTATGAAAAATGTTAGTCAAAGTCAGAAAAGTTTAATTAATTTCAAATATAATTACTTATGATTTGTGTGTATTGTGGATTCAGTAATTATAAGGAAATGTAATGTATTTATTTAAATTGAAAAAAATTATTACCTAATTTATTTTAATATTTTGTTTTGGAAGATATTTTGTCATTTCTAAGGTTTTATGGCGTGTGCTTTATTTTTCTATATATTAGTCAAACTAACTTTTTCAGAGCTGGTGATCCTGGTCCAACCGCTGTCATGGCTGAAGAATGGAGTGTGCCTGACAAAATGGTTGGATTAAGTAAGTACATTAAATAATAAATTTTTGAATATTTTAAAGAAGTGCTTAATTATACTTTTGAATTTGAATTATTGGATTTATTTCGAAAAATATGTAACTGTCTGCATAGTTAATACTAACTATATATAAATAGTTTGAATGGAAAGCAGATGAAAAATGAAACAGCAATTTTAATTCTCGAGAATTTGCTTTAGAAAAAAAAAAAACTTAAGTTTTTAATATTGACTTAAAATTTTAATGTTAATTCCTTTAAATAATACAATCCATCATCAGATCTGATGTTTAACTGTTCTACAGTCCGTAAAACAGTTAAACATTTGGATTTGATGATGGGCTGTAATGATCCCAAAAAGTGATTACATTAAAAATTTAAGTTTCAAAACCATTTAAAGGAATTTTTTTTTCCTTTCCTCCTATTAAGTTTAACCATGGAATTATCTGATTCACTCAATTTTATGGATGTAAGATATTTTTTATCGTATTTCTTGAAAATAAAAGAACGATATACTGTTACAGAATATTAGTTTTACAAAGATACAAAGGTTGATGACAAACATCTGTGTTTTATTTGGACATTATTGACATCATTTTTAATGCACGTTTTAAAGTGTAGTTCTCTCTGAAAGAATTTTAAGAATTAGTAATGCCATCAATAAACTTGAGTATATTTTCTAAAAGTAAATATTTATTTGAAAGTATTTTAAGTTAAGCATTTCATATTGTATTTTGTATTCATACAGTTTGTATCATTATATATTTAATAACATAACTCATTCAGATATTTCCAAGTAAGTAGAATTTAGTTTTAAAGATGTAGAAAAATTTATATCTATTTTATGACATGAAATTTTCAATTTTATGGAGTTAATATAAATTAATATTTCTGGTTTTTTAAGAAGTAGATATTAATTTCAATATGTTAATGTATAAACTTCAGTATAAAATTTGTGAATGTTTTAAAAAGTAATATAAGAATTATAAAACAAGTGAAATAAGCAAGCATAGTTTATAAAAGAATTATATAATTGGGTGGGCTGCAATTTTGAAAAATTGCAGATCTATAAATTTCCACTGTCTTCTATCTTTCCTTAATCTCGATAACAGAGTTAGATAGATGAAAGATGAGACCATATATGGAAATCTTACGGAGAGGAGGCCCTTATATGTGAACTTCCAATGCAAATTAGAAGTCATATTATTTCAGTTCAAAATTTTCTTCTGAAAGTAGTTAAATGGAGTCGTGCGGATGACCAGCACGACAACTCCATTGGTAATGGAGAAGTATGATGTACAGGGGCAAGACATTACAGTACTAATTTGAGATAGACAGCATTTAATTTAAAGGAAATAAATTAAAAATTGCAAGTTGGCATTGTGATGATGTCACAATAAATAATTGCTCATTACTATTCATTTTCTTATTTTTAATTAGTGTTTATGGTTAAAAAATGTGTCCTAAATATTTTAATAATGGTTTTTGATTATCTTAAAACTGACCTTTTATTTAATTTATGCTTATAAAGAAGTGTTAAAAAATGTTTGTGATATTAATTTCTTCAATATTTGCATCATTTAAATTCAATAAATGCATTATTGCGCTGCAATTTAAAAATTGGACCATTTATTTTGAAAGTGGTGCAAGCCCATTTATTGTTGTTTCGAGAAAATTAAAGGTTATTATATTAGTCAATTCAAAAAATATAAATTATGTCAAGTCTGGCAATGTTTCTACTAATTTATCGATATGTAATTTGATTATAAATTTCTTTTAGGTAAATTTAACTAAAATAATATATATTTACAAGCTGTAAATGGACTTGCACTACTTTCATAATTATTAAACTCTAAACGTCATTAAATTTCAACTACGTAAAATTCAATTTCACTTGAAATACATTTGTTCTATTCTGATTTTGTTTAAATAATAACAAGAAATAAAATGGTGTTGTTTATTTTCAACATTAAAGATATTTACTTATTGTTAAAGTATTTTATGATAAACTTATCATTAGGCATTGCTTTTCATTTAGGCTCATTATATGGATGTTTTTCATTTCATCTATTTCCATCTTATCAAACTGTGCTTTTGTTGGTAAAATGCAGATGTAATTTATGGACAGTCCATAAGTGCTTAATTAGACTACAGAAAATTGACTTACACCACTTTCAAAATAAATGGAATATTTCAGCTTAATAAATGATGCAATATTAGAAAGTAATTACACACTGGATTATAAATGTAAAGATATGATATAGAAACAACAGCAAATTATCAAAAAAAGTTATGGAAACCAAATGTTTTGGTTTCCATAACTTTTTTGATAATTATTATTGTCTGTTTTAATGGTTTTAACTATAATGAAGTATGGACATTATTATTTAAGTTTGTCTGTTTAAAAATGCAAAAAATTGATATATAAATATGAATAGACTGTATCAACAAAATTAACAGTTGAAATAAACTATCAGAACTGAAAGATAATTTTCAGCTAAATTTATTTTAATTATTTTATGAAATTGTCACATAAATTAACTCAGTTTCATATAATGAAAAATTTGAGATTTAAGTTGAAATATTCAATACTAATTTTGAGAAACTTAAATAAAATTCTAATAAATAAAATAAAATATATATTTAATAGTAATTACTGGATTGCTTCTTTTGAATAAGATTATAACTAAATATTTTCTTCCATAATTGTAATTAATATTTCAAAATAAAATATATTTTTTACTTAACGACTAAATTGCAATATTTTGTTTTGGATAATTTGCAAACAAAATTTTACAATAAGCTTTTAATTAATAAGAAAGATTTCTTCAATGTAAAATGTTTGAGAAGTTTTTTAATGAAGAATGGGAAAGTACATAATAATAGTTTAACCATATGTTAAGTGTTTTATCACTATTTATATTTGTAAATTCAATTTCATATAAACCTACTTTGTGTTTTCTTATTTTATATTTATTAAAATATTTTCGATCAGTTTGTTGAAAATTATTTTATTGTCTCTAAATAGTTGTCAGACTTGCAAACTTTTCTTATGATTTTTGACAGTTTCTATTCAAATTGAAATTTGTTGGATTAAATTTATTTCTTATTTTGTACAAATTGTAAGTATTACATTATAGAAGTCTTAATTGAAAATCCATAACAAGAAAGACATAATTGTGAAGAGAGAAAGAACATAATTTATATGATGAAATGAAACTAAAGTTCAGAGATTACTAGAAATGAAGTTCCAGAGTAGGTGGTAGATTGATTTGAAGTAAATATGGCTAATGGGAATTTAGAATTACAATAACATCTTGTGTACCTGCAAAGTGATTCAGCACTTCAGTCAATTTTCAGGAACAATTGACACAATTTCTGGATTACTGTGGAAATTGAAACATTTCTTCAGCTTTGGGACAAGACAAAAAATTTTTTTTGTAACTTCAGAGTTTCTATTTAGTTGAAACAGATTTTAGTAGAATCACTTATCTGATATCAAAAGTTCAAAACAGATTAATGGGTGATCTTCTCTGCTCTTAATAGACAAAGGGTTAAACATAACCCTTTGATGGGTGGGACTTTCATTAGAGGGCATAATGTGGCTATTACACTGCATATATAATATCATATCCTCCAATATTTAATTTTTTTAACACATTTTTATTGTACAAATGCGGTTATAAAGCATCTAGGTTAAAAATAAGTTGCTCCACCTTTTATCTGTTGCTCACCTTAATACTTGGCACATTTAATGATTATATAATTATTTCTTGCAGACATTTTTACCACATTCTTAATAGATCAATTTTGTTTCGTTGCTGTCTTCTACAGAAAAGTCATCTGTCTAATCAGCCAATTGTTCCTAGTCATTGTCTTCTATAATCTCCTGCTCTTCTCAGTTTCAGTGTAATAATTAGTCTCTTCTGGCTTTTTTTCTTCTTATCAGTTTTCTTATAACTGTTATAAAGCAATATCAAAACTGGTCAAAGCTGTATAAGATCTACAGACATCACAAAAATCTAAGCACCCTGAAAGCTGTTTGGTATATTTTCAAACTAATAGAAGTCTAACAATGTCTTTGATTTCAATAAATTCTTAAAGATATTTATGTAATGAATATGCAAAAAAGAATGAATATGCTATTCTTTCAAATACATTTAAAAATAAATAAAAATTAAACAGAAAGTAACACTGAACAAGCATTTAACCAATACAGATTAGTGTAGATGATTTATTCATGACTAATATATGAGCTGTTTCCCACTTGTTGGTAAATTATGCCAAATGAAAGTGAATGAATAGGTAGTTATTTAATTGGCAAATATCAAATGTGTAGCGATCTTCCTTAACTTGCATTCTTTAATTCTTTCATTAATAACCTTTTATCTTTAAATAAATTTCATTGTCAGTAAATAAGCTCTATGTATTTATTCAAATTGCATAATATAGGAATAACAAAAGAATTTTAAATTTTTGAAACAAAAGAATAAATATTAAAAATGTGTTGTTCTTGATCTGATGAAAAACTGGATATAATAATTTGCAAAATTTATTCAGTGAAAAGTAATTACATATCTATGGAAAAGAATATAAGAATACAGTGGAACCTCGGTATACGTCTGCTTTAGAATACGTCAAATTCGGAATACGTCCTGTTTGGACGAAACAAATTTTGCTCGGTATACGACTTAATTATACGTGCCATCTATGAACAACTCTCGGTGTACTAGACCAGACTAGACGTTCGCGGTGCCACAGTTTATAACTTTGTTAGATTTCTTCTGATTTTAATTTGTTAGTAAAATTTTATTATTAATCATGAATTGCAAGAAGGCAAATGAAAAGCAACAGAAAACTAAAAAAATGACTAGAATAACAACTGAAAAAAGAAATTGTTGAGAAATATGAAGGTGGCATGCGTGTTCGAGATTTTAACTGTTGCATATCGTATTCCGAGAACGACGATATTGACAATTGTGAAAAATAAAGACATTATTAAATTTGCTAACGTTGCGAAAGGGGTTAAATCAATTTCTAAACAGAGATCGAAGACATTAAATCATGTTGAGAAATTGCTTTTGCTTTGGATAACTGAAAAACAGCGTGCTAGAGACACCGTATCAGAAGCAATTTTTTGCGAGAAAGCTACAAAAATACACTCTGATCTCATGAAAAATCAAGCAGGGACTAGCCAGGAAAGCGAGGTGTTTAAAGCCAGCCATTTTTTTTACATGGGAACGAATTAATCATTTTTACATTACTTCTTATGGGAAAGGTTGATTCGGTATACGTCCTATTCGGTATAAGTCCAACAATCAGGAATGGATTAAGGTCGTATACCGAGGTTCCACTGTATATGTTTTAGAATTGTGGTAGTTTGTTTCAATTAGTATTTTCAGTGAATACCTTTAACATTATGATAAGTGATGATCATTTCAATAACAGTTTATTATTATTATAGTATTGTTTGCCAGAATGAATAACTTGCAATGAATTAAAATACATCTGTAATATTTTGTGTATAGTATATCATATTAAGGAAAATATAAATTTAACAGTAGTTTGTACTATTGATTAGTGCTGTGTAGCATATAACTCTTTGTAAGGTATACTTCTTGATGGAATAGAATAATAACAAAAAAAGTGAGTTTCTTTAACTTTTCTTCATGGAGAATTTTTTTATTTTCAAAAATTTATTTCCACCGAGTCAAAAATTCTAACATTCTATACGAATCTCAATTGAAAAGAATTGGTATGCACCGTTGCAGGTCTATACAAAAATCACTGATTTCTGCAAAGAACCAGAAAGTTCATCTATAGTGGTGCCAAGAGTGCCATGATTGGATATCTGAGGACTGGAAAAAAGTAATGTGGTCAAGATGAATCACGGTGCACCTTATTCTGTACTGATGGTATACAAGGAATGTGTAGGAGCCCCGTGCAGCAATGGACCCTACTTGCCTCATTAACACAACTAAAGGTTCTGGTGGAAGTGTTATGATATCGGGCATGTTCTGTTGGGATGGAACTGGTCCACTGATATTACTGGAAAGTTGGGTAATTCCCAACAAGTACTTGGATATTGTTGCTGATTAAGTTCATCTTGAAATTTTTCATTTTTTTCTTGCATGTGATGGCTCTGTCTTTGATGACAATGCTACTGTCCATCGTGCAAGGATTGTTCAGCAGTGGTTCAGTAAACATGAAGACTACTTTTGCCAGCACCCTGGCTATCAGAGCACAGATCTTAACCCCCATTGAGAATGTATGGGACATGTTAGAACAACAGATTTGCCAGTGAAGTCTGCTCCCATCAAATCTATGTGAACTAAAAGAAAGTATAGTAAATGCTTGGTGTGCGTTGGACTTAGAAGCACTTCGGCACCTTGTATTATAGAATCCATGCCAAATTGAGTAAACAATATAATTCAATCTAAAGGTGGTCCAATAAAATATTAAACTGCTGTTTCTAATTCATTGGCCAGTGAGTGTAGAAATTATTGAAAGAAATTTTAATGAGCAAAAATTATTGTGACATTGTCACAATGCTGCTGGGCTGTGATTTTTAACTTATTTAATTTAAAATATATGCTCTCAATCTCAAGTTAGTAGTGTTTTGTCCCTGTACATCATACTTTTCCTGATAAATGTCATGCCGGTTATCTATGCAATTTTGTTCTGGGGGAAATTTTTGAATTGAAATCATGTGACTGGTCTAGGCCGGAAGTTCATATATGGTTAGTCAGCATCTGCTGCTCCCAAGCTTTCCATATCTGGTCTCAATTTTCATTTATCTAACAACATTCTTGAGATTAAGGAAGGGCAGACAGATGACAATGGAAATTTATAGGTCTACAATTTAGATTGCAGTGCAATAAAAAGTAAAAATTTAAGATGACAATATTGATATTCTTATTTAGTCAAAAAATAGGAATGTCAATGATGTCAATTTTCACTTTTTGCTAGTGTTATAATTTATGTTTAAAGTATATGTAGATGATTCTATCCTATGTAATTTATTGTAGCTGATGAGCCTATATTTAATATTTCATTATGTAAAAACTATTTATTAGACAAGATTTTTCATTGAATTTAATGCATGCATTCAGTTTAAATATCTGAAGATAAAAAGTACAGTAAAATTTTTAAAATATTGACAAATGAATTCTTGCAGTTATTGGTCGTGGCGGTGAGCAAATAGTCAGGATACAGTCAGAATCTGGATGCAAAATTCAATTGGCACTAGAGAGTTGTGGTGCCCCAGAAAGACCTTGTACACTAACAGGAACAAAACAGGCTATAGAGTAAGTGTTTGTGAGATACTAACTTTTTAATATTAAGATTGTAATTGTATTTTAGAAAACTTTTTTGATTGACTAGATGATAATTTTCATAAATGGATGTATGAATGACACTTCATCATCTGAAACATTTTTTTCTTCAAATATCAATTGACTTGATATGATTTATTACTTCTCCCAAAGTATTTTTTAGTTTACCCTTTTCCTCCGCATTTTGAAATTTTTTAGTGTTATCTGCAGTAATCAACTTTTAAATGAATTTATTACTAAATGTTAAATATTAATATAAAATTTGTTTTCAGGTGGCACAACTTTTATCTCTTTTATGTAATTGAATAGGTTCATGTTTATATTTGAAGTTTTTTCCTTACAGAAAAGTGAAAGAATTAATTGGTCAAATAGTAAATAGAGGTGGTCAAGCTGCATCGTCTGAAGGACAGCCATACGCACCCGAAGGACAGACAGTGGTAGAAATGATGATTCCTGGAGGAAAAGTTGGCTTAGTCATTGGCAAAGGAGGAGAAACTATTCGTAATCTTCAGGTATATTACATAGATTGGATAATTTTATATATCCTGTTGCATATTATTTAATTATTTTATATTGCATTATCAAGTGAACAGATAACTAAACTGAAACTAACTTTTCAATGCTTAACTTTATTCATAAAACAGATGATAAAGTTGTCATAGTAAAAAAATATCAGGATGATAAATCTCCAAAATCCTATTTAATTGGTGTGCACAAGCTTATTAAAAAAAACCTAGTACTTTTGGATTTTTGATTCTGCAAAAATGAGTTGAAACACTAAAATTTCTAGGAAGTTCAAGGAGATTTATTTATAAGATATTGTTTTCTGATAAAACAGGATTTGATAGACTTGAGAAAATGGAAATTTCTGCACAGTGAGAAGAAAGTTTACAAATGGGCACTGTTTTAAAAATAACAGAATTGTAAAATAATTATTGTTTACTTTTGCATCAGACTTTTGAATTTTATATTGAAATATAGGTAATTCATGGTGCATATGAATGTACAATATTTCAGTTATTCATAGCTAATTGAATGTGCTTTATCTATAAAAATGGCAAGTTTAAAGTCACTGTTATGTAAACATTTCTTAAATTTTGGTACCATATAAATAATACTCAGAAATTTGTTTTACATATTATTTGTAATGTAGTAATTTATGGAATTCTTTAAAACTTTGTTTTATATGTTTAACACTTACCCTGTTCAAAGAATTCGTGAAACATAATATTACGTTTTACGAATTCTTTGGTAAAAACGGCAAATGTAATATTACGTTTCTGTATATATCAAGTTATTTCTAGATTTAAAACATAATATTACATTTTCAGCAATCAAAATATGAATTTTGTGTGTATTTTGGCGTGTCTGTTAATTAATAGTGGGCACTATTTCTTTAGAAATTTGAAATATAAGCAATTTTTTACAACCACATATGTTGTTTGATTTGGAGTTTCATGACTATATTTTGCAAGCAACTATAGTCATTTTACTTTATATATGAGAGTTGAGTTTAGATATGGTGCATAAATTACTGAACAGGAATTGATTGAATTCATTAATGAAAAAATGAACAAATATAGTGACAAATATTATTTCAATCACCAGTACAGTGTATTTCTATTAATAGGACTTATTAAACTGATATTTAAGATTACTGCAAATCAGTCACACAGATTAAAATTGTTTTATTAAATGTAAATAAAACAGTTTTAATAAGTCTTATTAATAGAAATACATACTTTACTGGTGATTGAAATAATATTTGAATAGATTAAGGACATTGAGGCATATTAATTTAAATATAGTGACAATTATATTGATTCATCTGACAAAAGTGTAGCAATTATGATTTAGGCCTAACTGAGATCAAAGAAATACAAGTAAGCCATGTAATTATGTTATTATTTTAAACCTGTATATTTTATATTACATAATTTATATATACTACTAAGATATTCTCAATACAAAAGTCGAATTCCTATATTTCTGATTGTGCTAATGCCATTTCATCTACATTTGCTAAACTGATGCAATTACAAAAAACAGCTATAGTGATAGGAAAGTCTACTAATGATATTGATACAGTATGATGATGATATGAATAAATTCATCAATGTACTATATATGTATTACTTAAAAAGACAAATTTTAAAACTACTGCATTTTTTGATTTTATCTCTATCTGTGAAACATGTCCAAATAACATTAAAGCACAATACATAAAAATAAAGCCCACATGCATCAAAATTGATACAGATAAATGTTCCTGAAATCAGGAACCATTTTCACATTTTAACTAGTTTTAGTCAATCGTTTCTTATTCTCAGTAGAAAATACTGTAAAATCGCTAAAATCAGTCAGCACACAGGTAAGGAACTAGGTAAATGGCTAAGGTAATTAGAAAATCAACTTATACCTTAGTTTTGTTTTCTTAATTTCAGATGAATTAATGGAAAAATAATCTAAAATATATTAAGTTAGTTATGTATATACAAATGTAATAATGTTAATTTTGTAATTTAGCACAATACTAGAATTTATTATTTTGATGAATATTTTCTAGCAAATATGAAAGAAATATGGTTTATCATAAGAATTTATATATATACAGTAGAGTGTCGTTTATCTGAAAGAATTCCAGTCAGCCTAAAGTATAATTTTTATTTGTTTTTATATTTTTCAATGTATTTATTTCGTTTATAAAACATAAAGAAATCATTTTTAACGATACAATAGTCATGATTATTATTTTAAAAAGTTTACATTAGGCTTAACATCGATGAAAATTCAACGCGAAGCGACATGCAACAGAGAAAAATTTCAACACGGCATAGGTTAATATATTTTTTCGTACATAATCGGTTATCTGAAAAATAAGTTATCCGAACAACCCCAGTCCCCAATTGATTCGGATAAACGATGCTCTACTGTATATAAATTCTTATATATATATGTAGAAGGTTTATCTTGAATATCAATTTTGATCCTAAAACTGGAACTACAAAAATAATTTTCATATGTAAATAATCAGAATTTATCAACTGATTATTGAAGATGCCAGCTTTCAGTTTATATTGATACATTTTGAAATTAATTTCCTTTCTACATTTGAAAATTTCAACTTTATTTTAAAAAAATATAGAAAATAGGTCAAGTAAAAAATTCTTTTAGTTTAATTGCTGTTTCCTGATAAAGTAGCCTGTTGTAGTTTATTCATTAACAATGACAATATGGCTTTTCATACAGGAAAAATACTAATGCATTTTCTTTGGATAAAGCAGATCAGGACCTCTTTTTAAATGTCCAATTGATCTGTTTTCAAGATAGTGCAACATCATATAATAATTTGTATTCAGAAACTTCCAATTGTAAGTTGAAGAAAGATGACAAGCATTTTATTAGCATTGATTTTAAGCAAACTATCAGATTATTTAATGGTAGGGAAATTTTTTATTGCATGTTTGTTCATCTCAAGTTTTAGATATTGTCATTAAATATCAAGTTAATTTGATAAAGTATAAATATGAACTTTTTTCTTAAATGAAATGTGCTGATTTAAATGCAACATTTTATTAGGAAATATTTGTGATACAAGACAGTATTGCTAGTCTGTGTGAATAGTACAGTAATGGTGAAAATTTAATGATTTAAAATTTAGAAGTTCATACTTTAATGATTATTTTTAATGGATGTATTTTATATCTAATTATCAACATTTAATTAAATAGTGTATTTTTATTTAAAATCGTTTTTTAGTGCATTTGCAAATGTAATATTTATGTATATTTATTAAATAATTATTTGAAGTGATATCTGATGGAAGGTAAGTGGAGTCTTAGTAAGTAATGTTTTTGTTATTTTAATAATAATCCTAATTTATACACGTAATTGGTTAATATATAACATTTTAAACATATTTAATGGATAGAATAACTTTCTTTTTTTAAAGATTATTATTATTATTTTAATATAATATATATAAATATGTATTTATATTTATTTAAATACATTTCTATTTAAAATTTTTTAAAAGTAGTTTATAATTTTGCAACAAATTTTTTTATAGAAGAATATCAATATTGTGTGTGTGTATAAAGTATATAGAAAAATACTTTACTAGTCCTTTACTAGGTTCATTATTTATTAAAATTACAAAAAAAAAATTTTTTATCTATCTTACTTTTTCTTTTTGTCTTTATTGTAAAATAATTAATAAAAGAAATTAAAGTATATTTTAAAATGCTCAAAAGCTGACTATTTTCTTTATCAATAAAGTCAAAAGAAATTATTTAAAATCAGATCTTTTCAATAACAAATATTACTAAAATAATTTATTAGAGAAAACCTTTGATATTACTTATTGCTTAATGATTTATATTTACCTTAACTTCAGCCATGTTGAAACGAATCTGATTTTTGTAGATATTGAGGAACTTTAAATGATTAGCTATAATTTTGTTGTTAGCTTTACCTGTAAGAGCTGTTTCAAGATTAGATTATTTAATGCTGATGATAATCAATTACTAGAGTTGAAAATAGTTACATTAATAGTGACTATTAAATAAAGATAATCTTATCAATTTTTTAATTATAAACTGTGTTTTAGTTTTTAATGTGTAATATCTATCATATGTTGAGTAAATAGAAATTTATTTTACAGAAATATAATTTATATATTTTAAGTAAATTTGCACTTTTTTTTATGCAAGGAATTGAATAGTAAAAATTTTTAAATGAAAAATGAGTTCATGATAAGTATTTTTAAACAGTAGGCTGAAAAGTTTGTTTACTGATGCAACAAATAATCCATTTTTATATAATTAGAAAATTGAAAAAAGAGATTTTTTTTTATTAGGCAAAAAAGAAAGCAAACACCTATTTTGTGGTATTAAATTTGTGTGATTCTTCAATTCTTGTAAAATTTTAAAAAATTTAACTACTAAATGATATTAAAATCTGTGGAAAATTTTTACAGGAGAGGCTATTATAGAAACTACCACTGTTTTTGATCAAAGTTTTTAAACTGATGTTCAAAACAGTATTGCATACTTTCAAAATTATTACATAATATAACTCATAATAATGAATTATAATTTTGCTATTTAAAAACTTTAAAAGTAAAATAACTATTGTAGCAGTAGCCTGAAGTAATTTATAAATTGTTATTGATTTATTTTGATTGTTACAGGAAAGGGCTGGGGTAAAAATGGTAATGATTCAAGATGGTCCACAACAAACAGTTGGAGAAAAACCATTAAGAATAACAGGGGAAGCTCAGAAATGTGAAGTACGTGTATTATATTCATATACATTTTTTTTTATAATTTACCATTTTAGTCTGCAGTTAAAGAAATCAAGGAAAATATCACATGACTAAAGTTTTTAAACTTTTGTGCAATTGGTATCTAGATACATATGATGTATCATTTATTAATACAATCTTAAAATTAGTAAAATTTATTCATACCTATTAAGAGGGGGGGAGAAACAACCAAATACATGAAGTCAAAGTCACATACATTAACCATACATACAACATGTACTGTACAACTAAAGCAAATACACACAGCACATAGTACAGAGTCATGTATGCAAATGGACAGCAACAGTAACAGACTACTGTTATGCCAAAATTTTTATACGAAAATTTATACACTTTCTGTAATTGTTGGTGATTACATGATAGGTTGCTTCAAAAACATTGTGCATTGATTTATCACATTAAACATGACTTTTCTTCAGAACACTTAAAAATCTTATGAGAGCCATTTGCATTGTATAAGTTCCACAGTTTTGTTTGAAAACTTATTTGAACTTTTATACTTTTCAAGGTTTTGTTATTCAAATTACTTACTTATATTCACTATTGAAAAAATAATTAAAAACTAAGAAGCATTGTAAACAGAGATAAACAATTTTTTTTAATTCAAGTTTTATAGGAATTATATCTCTAAATTTATATTTATATATTTTTTTTGGGTAGAATGCTTTTATGAATGTGTTTTTATTTTTAAAAGTCATATAAACTTTGTCATGTGATGATCAGATATAGTGTGTTTTAAAGTCTTAGGTTATATATTATTGATAATTGATTTTTAAAGAACTGAATAAAATGGAATACTATAATAATAAATTCTATTTTTACTTTTTTCTCTTAGTTTGCAAAACAGATGGTATTAGATCTTATAACTGAAAAGGAATTAGAGGTATGGCCTAATTATAATTTTTTGAAATATTCATTTTTAACAGTATAAACTTTTACTAATATGTTAAATCATCTCAGGGTGCAGGTAGAGGGAGAGGAAGAGGACGTGGTTTCCAAGCTCAAGACAATAGGCAGGACTACGGGGGTTCGGCAGGACCAGGAGCTGGTCGTGGTAGAGGAGCTGGAGGTACTGGTACTGGAGAGGCTACTGGTCAAGAGGTTCAATACAGTGTTCCAGCTAATAAATGTGGGCTTGTTATTGGGAAAGGTAGATAATTTAGTTTTATGAATTATTATAAAAAATGGTGCTTTAATACAAAGTTAAGATTATTACCATAGTATAAGAATATTAACATTAATTAAGAATTTTGAAAATAGATATATTTAATTAATAAATTAATATTTTGATTTTTTTTTGTAACGCCAAGATAATTTTACTTTCGTTGTCAATTTTTTTTTTAATTCTTCAAATTATTTTTATGCAGCTTCATATAGTGTCATAAAGAATTTTTTGATAAGAATTTTCATTTACAACAGAAGAATCATGGATTCTGATGTTTTCTATTGCTCAGAAATATTATAGAATGATTTAGAGCTTATACTGTACATTTCAACATTTCTTTGTGCTTTCCATGTTTTTAAAACAAAATAAAGAATTAAATAGTTGGTTTTTAATTTTTAATATTTTCCTATATACTGGGTCTGTATAGACCTGGAAAGTTAGGGAATAAGATTTTTAGCAGAAAGTCTGGGAATCCACAAATACTGTTGAATTTGTTTGTTATTTTTGTTCCTTTATGAACAAAACACATCTTTAAATTTGGTTCAGTATAGGGAGGTATGAAAACTAAAGCAACCAAAAGAATGGCAAGATTTGTTGTGTTTATATCTCGTAAACTATAAATGATGATATGACAATTTAAATTTTGTTGGATCAAAGGTTTACATCTGTATTTAAAATGGTGGGTAATGGAGGTGTGCAGCTGTGTGGGAAGGGTAACAGTTGTGTATGAACACTGAAAATGGCTATGCAGTGCAGTGTTTGAGCAGTGAAAGTTTGGATCATGAAGAGATATGACATTGAAATTGGTGTTGATTTGTATAGAATGACAGGATCTACAATATTATTTAGCAATAAGAATTGATAAAATATAATTTGTAAAGTTAAGCCAATAAGTTTGTGAGTTGAAGGAAATGTTTATAATGTCAAAGAAATTGCAAAGGAAATATGAACCAGAAATGTAAGAAACATATATCTTTGGAAAGAAGAATTAAAAGGAATCAAAAAAGCCCAAAATGACTAATGCTGAATGATGCAGTTTGTAGACGAAGCATAAGAAAACGATGTGCATCACTGCCTGAACTGATGAATATTGACTTGGAATGTGTTGACTACCAAAACTTTATTCATAAAACATATCCTTCTAATAACATAAAGACATTCACACCTTAAACAATTCCAACAGTGTTCCATACACAACCCTCCCAATTTTTTTACCTGTGACATTTGGTTAACTTGTAATCAGTTGATGCTGTGGGGGAAGGTAAAGAACTCTCGGTTAGCTCTTAACAGTGTTTTGTACGGGACATTTTGGACTGCATGGTAGACCTCATGCAATTTATTTATTTTTTATTTGTTGTATTCTTCACTGCTGGCCACATACAGTATGTGGAGATCATCATTCTGTCAAAATTAGCAGGATTTTTATTTGTGATGTGTCTTTTCTGTAACTGTAAATTTCTATCTTCTGAATTTCAGAAGTATACCAAAATATCATTATGGAGTTAAAGTTTGGTTTTTAAAAACACCGTGAACAACAACCCACTTTTCTGCCGAAAGTCCACCACTCCCACTATAAGTTTCAGGGAGGGATGGGAAGAAATGTAATGACCTATAATGGGTCCATGCTGGACCAAAAATAGCACGCGATATGCAATTTCTCACTCTCACAGTGTGCAATTTCTTCTGTTTAAATTATTTTAAATTTACAGTCTCCTCGCTTTAAGAAAATTTGATTTTATGTTGCAAGTTTTTTTTTTATTTAAATAAAATTTACGAATTAATTTAAATTATGACATTTTTATATGACTTAGCTTATTACGTAATCAATTTTACAGGAACTCTCTCATTTTTTGTAAGTGAATTTGAATTGAATTTTTTGTAAGTGAACAAAAAGTTCATATAATTGTGTACAAAATGGATTTAAATAGACTTTGCTGAATATTACATAATGGAAAGGGGAGATGCAGAGACATTAATAAGTCAGGAAATCAGATGGAATTACCTGTATGGACCCAGTATATGTTTTAAAAGATAGGAAAAAATAAAATAATGAATTATTCTAATTATTGAAGGTTTGACGATGATATGGAAACATTGTTGAAAACTTCATAGAAAAGTGTTTACTGATTTTGGCACATCTGATATTAGAAGAATGCATATATTTTTAGAATTTGAAGTTTGTCTTGTTTGTAGAGAGCATTATTAACATTTATTGGAATTCTGAAATCTTAATTATTTGAGGAGTTCCTTGTACTTGCTTCTGTATTCACCCAGGTTTTTCTTCTTTTAAAAGATTAAACTTATATTTGTCTAATGCTTAGTATTTTGGACAAATTAAAAGATAAAAATCCAATAATTGTTAAATTTGAGCATTATTTATAATAATAATATCTTGCAAGAAGTTAAATATATTGTTTTTGATGTATGCAATGTGACAGATGAGCAAATATTGAACTTACAAGCTACAACGAAAAACAGTGACATGTCTTACTGTTAATGATTTTTGTGCTTGCATGCATATTTTCTATTAAAAATGTTTTTAAATTTTTGTGAACAATTATACATACCTTGTATTTTATTGTATTAGAAAGATTTTTTAAAATTTCACATAACTTGGAAAACAAATTATTTTGGTGATCAAAAGAATTCTTTTTTTTAGAAATGTCAGTCATTTAATTAGTTAATGGTGAAAATGCTGTAATATATTATAACTATGCCATTTCTTAATTCCACATTGATAAAACAAAGATAAATTGTATGTATGTTAAGTTATATGAGAGATAACACTTTATAAATGTGCTTGTTGGATTGTTACTTTCAATTGGATGATAACAGTTGATGAGACATCACTATGGAAAGATTTTTAAAACATTGTTATAGATGTGACATGATGATGCTAATTTTTTTAAATTAAATTTTAAATTTAATGAAGTATGTTTAAAATGTCATTTGCCAAAATATTTAATAATTCAACTTGAGGGAAATTTCCTCGTCAAGCTTGAACGTCACATGGTTACTGATGTCACTGCAATGTAAGTGCGATCACTGATCCAAAATCAATAAAACATTTATTCTATAGCTAATATTTCTGCAAAATAAGTAGCCTATACTTTCTGCCAGAACATAAAAATAAATATAACCAAAATTTCATCTGGATTGGACAAAAATTGCAAATTCATCTGTATTTAGACATTTAGTTACCAAAAATTACATATTACAAATATATTAAATACTAATTGTAAGTTAAATTATCTTATAATTTAACTTCTTGTTTATAGAAATTTAAATGTTTCTATTAATATTTTAACTTGTTTTTTCGTCTGAAATGTTTGATTTCTGTTGAAACAGGTAAGCACGAAAAATGGTATTTATAATCTGATAAGATTAAAGTGAAATTTATGATAAGTTGACATAGTAAATTGTAATTAATCTATAATTATGATTATGGTTCATCTAAAGAAAAATATATTTTTTAAAAATTGAAAAAATTGTTTTAGAATAGTAATCTTTGTATTACTGTTGATAATTTTTAAAAAAGTAATTAAGGGAGTGAATTTTTAATAATAATGTAAAAAAAATACTGTAATTTTGTATGGCAGTTTATACTTCAAAGAAAATCGCTAGAATAGAAATGAAACCTTTGCATAACTCATCAGATTTTATTCTCTGGAGCATTTGTTGAAAACATCTGATATGCAGTTTAGAACATTCTGTCTCAAGCATTAAAATGTCATTTTTCTGTTAAATTTCATTGTGGATGTAATTATAAAATAGGCAAGATTAATAAATGGAATATTGAGAGGTAATGAGGTTAGCTATATTCATCCTTGAAGTCAAGAATAGTATCTGTCATAAGCTTGATAGAATGAAATTATTTTGAGTTAAGGATGAAATATATAAAATAGGTATTTATCTTTACCTTGAAACAAATCAATTGCAAACTATTTTGCATGAAACTTGATAATTTTACTTTTGTTCAGTTTTATGTAAAACGGTTCATCTATGACTAATATATTCCATGTTACATTTATATGAGATGAGACAATCAAGCACTTGTATCAAAAACAAAATATGATAGTTATACAATTCTGTTGGTTCTTGACTGATGGAAGAATGCCAAGTTCAGTTCGAGCTTGAACTTTTCATTAGATTGTTTCAAGGTCAAGCCGCAAGCTAGTGATACTTAGCAGATGATGACTGTGGATACCATGAATGCAATCAAGAAAAAAAAAATCATCTTGAGTAGATGCAAGTAGAATAGAGTGTTATGGGCTGTGTAAAGAATTTTATGGTTGTTTTAGATTTAATAACAACAATGAACAACTTTCAATGATAACAAAAAAAGAAGAAAAATTACAAAACTACATCTTGCTGATAACAACAGACTATACATGTGACAATCTCTTGCTTTACAAAAGCAGCTAAAAGGTGTTAGCTCAGAAGAGTTAACAAAGTTTAAAATATTAGATTTAAAACTTATATTCAATCACAAAGGAAGTTGACTTTCAATACTATGAACCAGTCGTCTAAAAAAAGAATTTTTTTAGACAAAGAAAAGCGTTTTTGATGAGTTCGTAATTGCATTATAACATCTCAATATAACTGTTTTATTGTGTAACTCAACTCGCTTGCAAATTGACTTTTAAATATAGATAACCATACAAAATTACGGTATATTTAATTAGGGTATAAATTGTGAGTACAAAAGAAAGTAGAATCATCTGGTAATAATTTATACACTACAACAGTAATGTTTTGAAATTTAAATTTGTAATAATTTCAAACTGTCATAAAGTTATGCTATTAGAGCATTTTAAAAAATATAAATGTTTATATTTTTAAATGCTCTTATTTTTGTTGTGTAATATTTTACTCCCTTGATGATTTTGTTTATTTTCAGTAATGAATAGAGAATATCAAATGGATGAAAATTACCTAAATAGTAATTGTTTATTAAAATTTAATATTACTGTTTACATAATTAAACAATTTATTCAATTTTGAAAAAAGTAAATTAGTTTCAAATTGTCTATTGTATAAAATTATTGAAATTTGTAAAGATTTTCGTATTGTAAAGTTTATAAAATACTTTTGCTTAGGAGGAGAAACTATTAGGAGTATAAACCAACAAACAGGTGCACATGTAGAATTATCAAGGGCACCACCTCCAACCCCTCATGAAAAAATATTCATAATTAGAGGTAATCCACAACAAATTGAGCATGCTCAACAGTTAATAAGTGAAAGGATTGGTGCAGTTGGTGTAAGTATTTTTGATTTGCATTTATATCTAGTCTTTAAGTTTTTTGAAATAATAATTTAATATTTAGTTAAATTTGTAATGAAATTTTAAATTTACCAGAACATCATTTAATAGTGTTATCTCTGATTCTTTTTGATGCTTCACACACATGTTGTAGAATTTAAAAATGAAGAAAACATTTATTAAATTAATGGGGAAAATTTTATTTAGTAATGAAATCATCCTTCAGAGTTGTGATTTTTATGGTTTCATTTAAAATCAATTAATTAACTAATATAAAAATGTTTTCATTGAGTAATCAAAATTATTCTTCGGCCAACATTACAAAAATTTTGCAGCAAGAATTATAAATTTTTCAAAATCTCTTAAAAATTCCATTGACTGAATTTTAAAAAAGGAAAAAATATTGGATGAGTAAAAATTAAGTTACAATTTCTTATGAGATTGTTTATTACTGTAATGTTGTGGCAGTTTGCTTTGCCTATCTTATTTGAATTGCAAGTCATTGCCATTTTTATGATCTGTGAAAATTCGAAATTATTTAACAGTAAAGATGTTAAATTTTAAAATTATCATTTTAATAGACGTACAGCAAAACATCTGAGATTGAAATGGACTTCCTGAAATTGACTGTCAAAATATATGCAAAAGTAAAATAATGTTTCTACTTTCTGTAGAACAACAAATTTTTTGTAAGAAATTAGCGATTTTATTTTGATTTCTTTTAAAGTTAAAACAAAAACGTTTTTTATGATAGTTAATACTTGAATAATTTCTAAATTGTATAGCTTGTACTGGTTTTATCTGCCAAATAGAACTTAATTTTTATCATGAGAAAAATAATTTTGCAAAATAAAATATTTCAAAAAATTAGCTAGGTCTGAAATTTCATTATTAAGAAAGTTTAATTTGTGCTTTATAGTTTGTCTGAAATATAAAGTTAATTATTTTTTTTATAGGACTTATTTATATTATCAGTTAAATGCTGATCCAGTCTTTTTTATCCGGATTTTTAACTGTCAAATTTCATACAAAGGACAATAATAGACCTTACTTGTTAGTGTAAACCATTCCTGTATTCCAAGTAAGGGTGTATATTTCAAAAATCTGCGCAAATTTTGAAGTTGTTTAAAATTCATTATTTATTGAATTGTAAATGTATGTATATAATGAACAGTCTTACAGTAGAGCCATATGACTGTTCGTTCTTTCATCCTGTGAAAAGGATATATATATATAGGATGAAGAAGCCCTGTGTTCTCTGTTAAATTTATTGTAAAAATTAAAAAAAATTGTTTTGTATATTTTAAATATATTATTGTCCTGGCTATTTACTAGTTTTATTAATATTAATACATTATTATGATTTAATAAAAATTCTCTACAAATTATATCAGTAATGTTTCATGATTTCCATTGGTCCAAATTTTAAGTAGGACACCCTATGTAAAGAACCATGATCAGAAGAAATGGCATTCTTTAAAATTTTTATATTTTTTTACTTTCTGGATTTGTTTCAAGCACTATAGAATTTATATATTAATTATTGTAACAAAATACAGTAGAACTTTGATTATGCAAATTGATTTATTCTGCAGGTAATTTGCAAAATTGAAAATTCAGATAAATGGATTAACATGTAAAGAATGAAATCACAGGGTAACTGCATAGTATTTTACATGTACTGTATTTGAGCTGTTCACTTGCCAAAGCAACTAACTCCATAAAACAAAAAGTATAAAAATTGTTAATATAAATTCATTCTACAATGTTTATTTAAATTTTATCTTTATATACTGTTATATTAAAGCATAGCCTTACTGTAAGAATATATAAAATCAGTTATGTGAAAAATGTAAAAGTACACTGGACGACAAAAAAATAACGCACCACGAAGGACTTGTTGGATTTGAATAAAAATTGGTATATGACATTGTCATTGCTAGACAGATATATGATTGCAACCATAAAACAAAAACATACTTTATTGTGCAGTAATATGCAATACAGTGCAGGTACTAATATCCTGTTGGGCCGCTTCTAGCGCAGATACAAGCTGTGATACGCCTCGGCATGGAGGCATAAAGGTTGCAAATAATGTTCTGAGGCATATCTGTCCATGCATGATACAATTGGGACTCAAATTGTGTCAGATCCTGTGGCTGTCGCAGCTGGCGACCCAAGTGGTCCCACACATGTTCGATTAATGATAAATCTGGAGACTGTGCAGGCCAAGGAAGTGTGGCAACGTTACGTAGGAATGCTTGGGAGACCGCTGCAGTGTGTGGCCGGGCATTATCCTGCTGGAATATGCCTGTCGGAAGCCCTGCCATGAGGGGCTACACATGTGGCTGGAGGATGTATTGCACATATCATTGGGCTGTGAGGATAGTACGAATGACAACTAGAGGTGTCCTACTGTCGTATGTTATGGCTCCCCACACCATAACATTGGAGGTTGGGCCCATGTGCCGCTCCACAGTATAGGCCGGGTTGACACCTTGACCAGCGGGCCGCCATACTCTCACATGGCCATTGTGAGCCCCCAAACAAAAGTGGGATTCATTGCTGAACACAATATGCTGCCAGTCGGTAGCGGTCCACGATTGTTGTGCACGACACCTCTGCAGACGGAGGCGTCGGTGGGTGGCTGTTAACGGTAGAACACATACTGGGCGTCGGGAGATCAATCCGCCTTCTACTAAGCACTTGGAAATGGTGCGGCTGGATACACGGTTCCGTAATTCCCGTGCCACCGCTGCCTGAATAATAGACGATGAAGCTGTAGGCGCTGTCCGTGCTTGACGTACAATCAGACGATCCTCCCTTCTGGTGGTCTGTCGATAGCGTCTGGAACCCGTTTGCCATTCGTGTGTACCCCTACTTACCCACTGCTCATAACACATCCTAACAGTTCTATCAGAACAGTTCAGATCCGGTGGTATGACCATCCTCCTCCTCTCAATCCAACGATGCGACCTCTCTCAAACTCACTTAACTGAGTGTAAGGCTGTCGAATGCATCGTAGAGGCATGTCTGTCACTCAATGAAGTCAAAACCATGAATAAAAGCGCAGAACATATGCACAAGTTGTCACAGTGTGCACCTTTATACCAGGCAGCGGAAACATTTTTTTCCCTCTGGTGGCAATATAACACAAGAACCTACTCTCAAAAGCTAATCATTTACATATCTAGCTAAGATGATGCAACACATCAATTTTTATTCAAATTCAACAAGTCCTTCATGGTGCGTTATTTTTTTTGTCGTCCAGAGTAATAACAATTAGCAAGGATTTACAAATGGAGTTAATCGAATTTGGCCTGTGAATTGCTCATTTATTTATTCATCAATGTGTGAGTAGATAATTTGGATATGTGATAGCAAATATGCATCATCCATCATGCAGTTGCATGAAATTAGAGAATTGCAGTGTGATGTCAGTGAGAGAAAGAAAGGAGGGCAAGTAGTGGTTTGTATAATTGGACATTTGGCAAATCAGAGTTCTAATGTATTTTATGTTAGCTGTTTAATATGAAGTATTATTTATCTCTACGAATATTCACTTTAATTATATTTTTACATTTGGAATATGAATTGCTTTTAATAATAATGGATATATACTTCTAAATTAGTCCATATTTTTAAAATCTTACAAGAATTCTAATTTTTCTTTAGCCTCCTGCCCAGAATGGACCTCCACCTTATCCAACACAGTATCCACAGCCATAGTAAGTTATGGGATTTTTTTAATTGGAATTTTTTGCTATATAAAGAAAAATTGTGATCATAAGTCTAAAGTAAATTTGTAATTTCAAGAACTTATAATTTCTTAAAGAATTTCTAATTTTTAGATTAAAAATAATATAATTGTTGTAATTATATAATAATGCAGATGGAATTTGTTTCTATAATTACTGTAGTCAGATCAATTTATTAAAAAGTAATTTTTATTTTTATAGTGGATATAATCAACAACCACCACCACCTGCACAACCTTATGCGCCTCAAGGATGGGGTAATGCATACCAGCATTGGCAGAATCAAACAGCTGCACCTAATGATCCAAGTATGTATAAAATGTTTACTAAATTTTATATATTGTTAAAAAGTACAGGACAAAAAGAATGAATTATTACAAGGTGGCCATTATTTTTTATGGAAAAAAATTTTTGTAATTTGATATTAAATATTAACTGTGCAGCAATAATCATGAATTTGTGTTAAAGAAGAGAGAATTTATTCATTTTGTTTACTTTTAATTATTTATTTATATTATTTTCTTCTTCGATGTATTTTTAAGAAAGAAGAAATTAGGCACATTTAAACATCTTTCACTTATATGTCAAACACTTCGTATTTTCATTAAAAAAATATACAAGGGAGATTTCAAAAGACAGAGGTTANCAAAGTGCTGCAGAACTGTTTTTACTAATGCCTCTCTGATACAAGCAGAGCTCCTTCCTTTACCACTATGTATTGTAGAAAAAATTCTAAACTACTGCATCAGAACTACAAACATCAAGGCTCAACAATGGTTTCTATTCCTATCTACAGCTGTTCATATGCTACCACATTGCAATTACCCTACTACCTCTGATCATTGTCCTGTAAACAAGATTATTTGGTGTCATCTGCTTCCTCCATGGATCATCATGCAGACATTAATATCTACACAGATGGGTCCAAAAGCTCCCTTCTTGTCTGCTCAAGTATCTGTATCTTCCTCCAAACTGACATATTTTGCCAAAAATATGTTAGAAGGTACAGATACCTCCCACATACCTCCATCTATCAAGCTGAAGATGCTGACTACCAAGCTGTTCAGTGGGCCACTTCACTACCAAAAAGAACTTTGTCTATCAACATTTACAGTGATTCTCAGTCTGTCCTAAAAGCTCTCTTAAATCCCAATTGCATATATCCAGCACCATATTAAAAATCTTGTAAATTAGATAAGTTTTATATATGTTCCTGGCCATACTGGCATACTAGGAAATGAAAAAGCCGACTTTGAGGCTAAGTCAGCTGCTAAGGACACTGATTTTGGCTACACTCACATCACTCTCTCAAGTAGCAGCCTTAAAAATTATATTCATGACAACACTATGCAAAAGTGGAATCAACAATGGTTGAGCAGTAAAACTGGTAGAATAACAAGACTTTATTTTCCTAGTGTTGAATGTAGGTTCTCATCACTACTTAAAGATTTAACATTTGCTACTGCTCAACTACTTACTGAGCATGATAATTTTAGAAGCTACCTGGCAATGTATAACTGGACAGAAACTGCTTCTTGCTTTTGCTCTACAGAAAACCTAGACACCATCGACCATATGATCTATCATTGTTCAATTTACGATCAAAATAGACTTATTCTGAAATTAGAAATTTTAAGCTTGTTTCAGGTGGCCATGTCCACTCAATAAGCTTGTTCAGAAACCACTGTCTCATGCTTTTTACAATTATGTTCAAAAAATATGGAAGAAAAGACTATTTATAATTTCTAATATCTAGTTTTACATTTTAGTTTTCACTAAAAGCCAAATACTAGTTTTATGTTTACTTTGTATCATGTATTTTGGTTTATGTATTCTTAGTGTTATACACCCGTAGGAGTGGTGCACTTATTTTAATAAAAACAAGAGAGAGAAACCACCACATGGCCTTTCTCCCATGACAAAAAATGTGTAGAGCGTGAATCTGCTAGTGTTATTACTCTATCATGTCACACGAGACAACAAGCGTTCTTAATAGAAACCACCAAATTGAAGCCAAATTCAAAACACCACCACTCAATGAGATCAAAAAATAAAATAAGAATATTATGTAAGACGAGATCTATAACCCCCCCTACCCCTGAGTAAGAAATCATAAGAAATCCTTGACCCCCAAGTACCCCAAAATACCTTACATAATTTATGGATGGCCCCTAATGAGCTTGGCTCTCTGTGTGTCTCACCAACAGACTCAGACACTTCCATCAACTTGAATTTGCTTGTCACAATAGCTACATATTAAAACAGTTCCATCTATATCTAAACCTTCTTCAAGAAATTTATTACTTAAAATTTTGAGGCTTCAATTTCTTTACTTTGTCCTTAGTTTCATTCTTATATATTCAGATTGCACAACTAAGCTACTGCCATCATAACAGGAAGCATGTTGAATGAGAGAGAAACCTTGGTAGTGTTGTCAGATTGAGAGGTTTTTCTCAATCTACAGGAATTTTGGATGTTAGTGATTTCAGGTTTTTTAAATAAATTATAATAATTGAAATTAATAAAAAAAATATATATATTTTATTTATAAATAACTAATTAAATGTAGCATTTGATTCATTTTGCACCTAAAATGAGATGTCTGAACACAAATTTCATGCAAAATGCATGGGACTAATTCCCCTAAAACCTATAAAAAATGTGTCCAAAATTCCAGTTGCATCAATTTAAGATGTGCCCACATTTTATTTAGTATATTCTGCACACAGGATTTCAACATCTAGTAATAAATAATTATAATTACAAAAGAAAACATTATCATTGTTATTAGTGTCTTCATAAGGATGACAAGATTCTCATTTCACTGAATACTTCAGCAAATAAATACAATTGGAACATAAATTTTAATAACTTATTTTAATTGAATTTTTTACTAATCATTGAGTCTTATTGCTATTATTGTTAATACTTACATATTTTAAATTATTTTTAGTGGCTCCAAAGATTATTACACCAATGAAAGAAATGCTAGTTAAAAGTGGTAATACAGCTAACATTGAAATTAAATTTGTTGGTGAACCAGCACCTGAAGTCTGTTGGACCAAAGAAGACAAAAAAATTAAATCTGATAGTCGTTGTACAATATCATCTTTTGAATCATATACTATTGTAAATATTGTCAATGCTACCAGAGCAGATACAGCTTCTTATACATTGAATCTGACCAATAATTCTGGTGAAGACAAGGGAACTCTTTCCTTAATAATTCTTGGTAATAATAATTAAAATATTTAATATATTATAATTTATATTATTTCTAAATGTAATAGTTTATTTGATGAAATTTATTTTTACTTTAAAATAATTTCAGATAAACCATCTGCTCCTGAGGGACCATTAAAAGTTGATGAAGTTGATAAAGATCATGTTGTGTTATCTTGGAATCCGCCAAAAGATTCTGGTGGAAGTGAAATCATGTATGACACTACAGTTCTAATTTTCATTATAGATTACTTTTTAACTTTTGTAATTTAAAATTATGTATCTAATATAATTTATTATAGTGGATATATTGTTGAAAAGAGAGATAAAACACATAATGGAAGTTGGGTTCCTGCAGTTGCACATGTACCAGCAAGATCTACATCCTGCACTGTTTCAAAATTAATTGAAGGAACAGAATATGAATTTCGTGTTATGGCTGAAAATGCTCAAGGCATTTCTAAACCATTAAAAACTGATAGACCTGTTCTTGCCAAAAGTCCATATAGTAAGTTATTAATTTCATATTGAACTGTTAAAAACATTTTTGTTCATTTGTTTAAAATTTCCATTTCAGAGGTTCCAGGAAAACCTGGTCAACCTGAAGCAGTTGATCATGATCGCGATTTCATAAAAATTAAATGGTCTGCACCTAGATCTGATGGAGGATCTCCTGTTATTGGTTACGATATTGAGAGACGTGATATGAAAACAAATCGTTGGGTGAGAGTTAATAGAGACCCTGTACAGGTATAGTTAAATTAAAACTCTTATTTCAAATACTATTAATTTTCAATTTTATAAAATATTAGTTTAATTTTAGTAATTTAGGTGAAATATAATCAGCTTATATTTTAATTTAAATATCTGTAGGGTAATAATTATACAGACAACAGTGTAATGGATGGTCATTTATATGAATACAGAGTTATAGCTAAGAATGTTGCAGGTTCTAGTGAACCAAGTTCTGCATCAAAAGTTATTGCAGCTAAACCTATGAAAGGTTAATATTTTAAAATTATTATTATTGTTATTGTTTAGTTTTATTTTTAACTTAACAAAAATTATTCTCATTATTTTTAGAAAAACCAAAACTGCATTTGAATGGACTTTATGGAAAAATTATTCGGGTAAGAGCTGGTGATCCTCTTGTTATAAACATTCCATTGACTGGTGCTCCCTTACCAGCTATTGAATGGTCTTTCAATGAAAAACATATTTCTCCATCAAACCGTGTTCAAATGGAGTGTGTAGATGAAAGTGTTAGTCTTGCTATTAGTGTCTCCCAAAGAAGTGATAGTGGAAAGTATACAATTAAAGCCAAAAATCCTTATGGTGAAGATTCTGCAGATATCACTGTTTTAGTTTATGGTAATGACAATTTTTTAATTTTTGAAGAATNGCTGGACAATCCATGAAAATATGGTATAAAGCAGGGGTGAATCCTGACCACTGACATAACTGGTAAATTATTTGAGAACATTTTTAAATTAAAAATATTAAATTATATTTAATACAAATTATTAATACAATATTTTAGGTTATGTGGTTGAAAAATGTGATATTGGAAGTAATAGGTGGGCCTCAGTTGGTGGGTACATTCCACAGCCGACATTTACAGTTAAAGGTTTGGTAGAAGGAAAAAAATATAAATTTAGAGTTAGAGCAGAAAATATGTATGGTGTCAGTGAACCTTTGGAAGGCAAACCTGTTACAGCTAAAAATCCATTTGGTAAATAAAATAAATTTATACAATTAAAAGTANATGAATGTGAATTCTATATTACTTTACACACTTTTAATTTTTTATTTTGTTGTCTTTAATTATTTCACTTCATAATAATGATATTAGTTCATAATAAGTTTTATTTTAAAGTATATAAATTCTCGTTATGGTGAAATATTTAATAAAAAACAAACAATAATTTTATTTTATTGTTGTAGGTTATGTTATAGAAAAAAGGGAAAGAGGTGCTCCAGAATGGGCAAAAATCAGTACTGTTTCAACAACAGACACAGAATTTACTGTTCCTAATTTATCTGAAGGTCGTACTTATGAATTTAGAGTTCTTGCTGTCAATGAAGGAGGAACTGGTAAACCTAGTAAACCATGTCAACCAGTAACAGCTAAAGAAAAGAAATGTATGTAATGTAATTTATAAATTAAAATTAAAAAATCAGCAAGATATTATTTGTCATTTAAAACTTTATTTTTATTATTACATTAAATCAGATCCACCTGATGCTCCAGATACAATAGATTTTGAAATACCTGTACTCTCAAATATTTGATTATGGTCTATTTTATAATAAGCTGACAGCTCCCCTGTTATGGAAAAAGCTTTTCTATTGCTTTTATGTTAAAATTTAGATGAATAGAATCTGTTGGATCGACTGATTTCACTGGACTAGAAAGATATATTGGTTGAACAAACTGTACTGAGTCCAAATTTCCAAGTGAAACCAATAAGTCTGTTGGATAGCAAGAGTAGTAATGATACAACCAAAGAGATCATAAATCTAATTTATTATTATTTACATATTTATACCATATTTTTGCAGATTGACCAGCATGCTGCACATAATCAGGGAAATCAGCATGCCAGTAACCCCTGGGTTACAACATGGTGTCTAAACTGTGACTAAAATATAAAATTAATCAGATCTAACAAAACTAGTTGTTAAATAAATGTTAAAGAAAATATTTTTCTGAAAACAATTTGTAATTTGTAGAAGGAAGTTTTTTGTTTCAGAGCAATAAAAAACAATTAGTGGCTTATTGATGTTAGTAGTAGTAGTAATAGTAATTAGTCAGTGTGGGCTGCGCTGACAGTCTATCCTGAAAGATAATACCTTCCTCTCAAATTTCACATTTAGTGGGTGCTAATCAGTGTAAGTTAAGATAATTTACAGCAAGTTTCTGAAATTTGATATGTTTATTTTTTTATCTTTGGATCAAATTACAATAAAATAAACATAAAAAAGCACTTTCAACATTCCACAAGTATTCTACATCATTAGAAAGAAGACAAAAATGCAGAAATTAAATGTGTAATTATAATTTTCGATGTAGTGCTAACAGTTTTACAATTCTAGAATAAAAGCTAGTGTCTGTGAGTTTCAAATGGACTCTAGAGAGGAATGTATAACCTCAATTAAACTGGCATACCACTTTCCCCTGGAATAAACTGGAATGCCAGTTTTTATCATACTGAAATATCTGATTTCATGGTCTCCCCTGGATAGACTGAGATGCTGGACAATCCATGAAAATATGGTATAAAGCAGGGGTGAATCCTGACCAAAATTTTTGGGCATGCTGAAAGTTATAATAAGAATAATAGGCCTATCTCTAGCACTAAACAATAGGCAGAAACATTATTTGGTGTAAATATAAAAGTATGGACTATTATAAAGCCCATTATATCTACACATGAAATATATTATAATGAAAAAGTATTAAAAATTTATGATGATAATTCAATTTTTGGGGACCCAGGGCTTAAGCCCTGTTAGTACCTATGTAGATCTACCCCTGTATACAATATATGTTGACTGAGTACCACAAGCTTTTGATACAAGCTGGACATGTTAAATGCTTCAAATGACATCATGCGCACACACTTGTTTGCTGCGGAAAACCTCCACACAAGCAAGCAATCGAGTTCCTGCAAGCATCACACTGACAGTGTAAAAGGAAACACAAATGATAAAAGAGTTTATATGTTAGAATAAATTATTATTGGCATATTTGTTCTCATATAAAAAAATATATTGACAGTCAAAACTTTCTCATGCACTGCACAAGAAAGTTTTCAAACTTCTTCATGCGGCGCATGCTAAGCAAGCCCAGAGAATTCACCCCTGGTATAAAGGAATAAGCAAGAAAAAATGTCAAACATAACCAATTAGAATCAGAGGTTCATCTACAAAATATAATCCATATTCTGCTAATCATACAAGTCTAACATTGTCTTTCACTTTAAAGATTTAATTGATAATTTAAATACTTACAGCATATCTTGATTTAAAAGTTTGTTATAATTTGCATATATTTTTGATAGTAGTTATATTATTTATTAAACACTTTTCTAATTACTTTTGTGTTCATAGTTATTTGAGATGAAAATGATTCCTTTTCCAGGCAATAGTAATGGCAGTGCTTCCAGTTTCATTACAGTGCATATTGTATTCATTATATAAATGATGAATGTGAATTCTATATTACTTTACACACTTTTAATTTTTTATTTTGTTGTCTTTAATTATTTCACTTCATAATAATGATATTAGTTCATAATAAGTTTTATTTTAAAGTATATAAATTCTCGTTATGGTGAAATATTTAATAAAAAACAAACAATAATTTTATTTTATTGTTGTAGGTTATGTTATAGAAAAAAGGGAAAGAGGTGCTCCAGAATGGGCAAAAATCAGTACTGTTCCAACAACAGACACAGAATTTACTGTTCCTAATTTATCTGAAGGTCGTACTTATGAATTTAGAGTTCTTGCTGTCAATGAAGGAGGAACTGGTAAACCTAGTAAACCATGTCAACCAGTAACAGCTAAAGAAAAGAAATGTATGTAATGTAATTTATAAATTAAAATTAAAAAATCAGCAAGATATTATTTGTCATTTAAAACTTTATTTTTATTATTACATTAAATCAGATCCACCTGATGCTCCAGATACACCACATATTGATAAAATTACTAAAAATTCTGTCACTCTCTCTTGGAATAAACCATATAGTGATGGAGGTAGTAGAATTATGGGCTATCTTATTGAGAAAAAATTGAAAGATGCCAAAGAATGGGATATCATTAATGAAAAGCCTCATCCAAATACAATGTTTACTGTGAGTAATCAAATATTTATTTACATGTTTATTTAGATTACAACTATCAAGATTGAATGTTTTATGATCAGTTAACATTTTTGTTAAAATTGTTACATTTTTATGTAATTGTAGATATCAAATCTTGTAGAACATCAAGAATACGAATTTCGTATATTTGCTGTAAATAGTATTGGAGAAAGTCCTCCAAGCAAACCTACACCAACAGTTGTTATTGAAGAACAACCTGGTCAGTAATTAAAATGTTAAATTTTGTTAAATGAAAACTAAAATAAAATATTATTGCTTTTCTATTTGTAACAATAATTGAAAAATTGTGTATTTGTAAAATTATTATTTTATAACTTATATATATTTTAAAATATTAATTTTTATAAAAATGTTTATTGTAAAATTTTTTTATTAATTCAGATAAACCAAGAATCGATGCTGGAGTTATTAGAGATATAACAGTTAAAGCAGGACAAGAATTTCATATACGAGTACCATTCTCTGGATTTCCTAAACCAACAGCTGTATGGTCAAAGAATGATGTAGATATAGATGTAAAAGATGAGAGATGTTTTCAAAAGGTGATAACTCTTTATAATATGAAAGCTCATTGACTAAATTAATTTGTAAAAATAAAATATAACTTACTAAATATATTTTTAAGGTCGATGAAAATGCTGCTTTCTTGGCAGTTAATGAAGCAAAACGTTCAGATACTGGACAGTATAAAATATATTTGAAAAATAAATCAGGATTTGATACTTGCTTCTGTAAAGTTACAGTTCTTGGTAAGAAATCTTTTATTAATTTAGATCATAAAAAAGAACAGTATTTTGCAAAATTAAGTTTAAAAATAATAACAAAAATAGGAAATTTAAAAATTATTATAATTAGCATGAAATATTAATATATATTAATCATGAAAAATAGATGAATATATGTTTTTTAAATTTAATTTTTAAATTAGATCGCCCATCACCTCCTCAGAATGTTCACGCTGAAGATATTGATGGGGAATCATTAACACTTTGCTGGTTAGCTCCTAAAGACAATGGAGGCTCTGAAATTACTAATTATGTAATTGAAAAGAGAGAAGCAGGATCAATAAATTGGGCCCGCATCAGCAGTTTCATATCTGGCACTGCTTATCGCATTCGCAATCTTGTTATCAATCATAGGTATGATTTTAGAGTTATGGCTGAAAATCAATATGGAACCAGTGATCCAGGAATTACCTCTGAACCAGTAACAGCTAAACTACCATTTGGTAAATATTAAACCTAATTTTATTTTTGTAGAAATTTATAAATTATTTGAATAAATAATATTTGTAACTTAATCAAGTCAAACTTTATTTAAATTTCTTTTGGAAAGTGAAATAAAATTAATTTTATAATTTAATATTAAACTATGTATGATAGTTAAGATTTTATATAGTTTATAGTTAATTGACAAGATTAATTTGATATTTTTCAGATACTCCAGGTGCTCCAGGAACTCCATATTCAGTAGAAACATCTGAAGATTCTATAACAATTTCTTGGAATAGACCAAGAGATGATGGTGGAAGTCCAGTTGTTGGTTACATAATAGAAAAGAGAAAATATGGAGAGGATAATTGGGTGAGAGCAACACAAGCAACAATTCCAGATCTTACCTACAGAGTTGGCAGTCTGGTGGAAAATACAGAATATGAATTTCGTGTGGCAGCTGTTAATGCTGCTGGTCAAGGTCCATTTAGTTCTTCATCAGACATTATTGCTGCAAGACCTCCACCATGTAAATTATTGATATTTTTGTTTTATTGTTTGTTATATAAATATATTTTTATAGAAATTTTATTATATATTTTATTCTTACATAGGTGCACCTAAGATTGATATAGCCTTTGCAATGAAAGACATTGTTGTACAAGCTGGAGAAGAATTTACTATAAGAATACCATTTAATGCTAGTCCTATTCCTAATGCTACTTGGACTATAGTATGTATTAGTTATTTAATATTTTCTATAAAATATGATGATAATTTTTATATAAAAAATAATCTCATATATTATTAATTTTTAAATAATAGAATAACAAAATTTTACTACCAAATGATCGTGTCTATTCAGAAGTGAATGTAGCATTTACAGTTCTGATAAATAAAAAGGCAAAACGAGATGACTGTGGTCAATACATGTTAACTCTTAGCAATCCTCATGGTTCAGATTCAGCATCTTGTAGAGTTACAGTAGTTGGTAATATATATTTATAATAATATATATATATATATATAATATATTAAATATTTTTCAAATTACTACAGTTAATGATATCATTTAACTTTTAATAGATAAACCAGGTCCACCAGAAGGTCCACTAGATGTGACTGACATTACACCTGAAACATGTTCTCTATCTTGGAGACCACCTAAAGATGATGGTGGTAGTCCTATTACTAATTATGTTGTAGAGAAACAAGATCCAACCACACAAGTTAGTATTAAAGTTTTTATTCTTTACAAAAATTAAGTATTTTTTAATTTATCCTATTTTTTCTTCAGATTTGGATGAAACTTAGCAGTTTTGTAAGAGGATGTCATTATGATGTTATTGGGTTAGAACCTAATAGAAAATACAATTTTAGAGTCAGAGCTGAAAATCAGTATGGTATTGGTCAACCTTTAGACACAGAAAAGCCAGTTACAGCCAAATTTCCATTTGGTAAATTGTTGTTTTTATATTATTAATGTACTATAATCATTCTTTTACAAAATGCCTATGTATGTATAATCTTAAAATATTTTATAAAGATGTGCCAAGTGCTCCAGGTGCACCAAACATTGTTGATTGGGATCTTACCAGTGTTTGCCTCACATGGATGCCATCTCTTAATGATGGTGGCTCTAGAATTCAAGGTTATCAGATTGAATACAGAGATCCTTTAGATGGAAAATGGAGAGTAGCTAATAAAGTCCTAGTAAAAGATACTGCTTTAACAGGTATTCTTTGGAAAATTTATATTTTGGAATAATATCTTCATTAAAATTATTATTTACATACTTATTAATGTGATTTCAGTAAATGACTTAATACAAAATCATGAATATGAATTTAGAGTAAAGGCTAAAAATGCTGCAGGTTTCAGTCTTCCAAGCCCACCATCCTCTATGTGTAAATTAAAACCAAGATTTGGTAAGAAAAATATAAGTAAAGAAACTAGTAAAAGAAATATATTATAAAAGATATAATTAATTTCTTTATAAATTATTAATTCATGATTAAGATTAAAGTCATAATAATTATTTTTAGCCGTACCTTCACCTCCACAAGATGTAAAAGTGACAAAAGTTGGTAGAAGTTATGTTGATCTTAAATGGGAGAAACCACGTTCAGATGGAGGAAGTAAAATACAACGTATGATTGATTGATGATTCCATGACTGATATACATATTTTCTTTATAATTTTTTAATTATTTAGAACTTATTTTTTCTTTCTTTTGTAGATTATCTTGTTGAAAGGAGAGAATGTGGAAGTGCTTTCTGGTTGAAAGCCAATGAATACAATGTTACAGATTGTTCATATATAGTATTAAATCTAACAGAAAACAAAGATTATGAATTCAGAGTATTTGCTGTCAATGCAGCTGGAAAAAGTGAACCAAGTGCTTGTACAACCCCAGTTAAAGTTTGTGAAATTGCAGGTAAGATTTTAGTTTAAATAAACTTAGATTTATAGATTTAAATATTTTAAGTATAATGTTATAATGAATTATAATAATTGTATTTCAGATGGTGTTAAACCAGAATTTGTACGTAAATTATTTAACAAGTCTTGCAGTCTTCATAAGACAGTTACTTTGGAATGTGAAGCTGTTGGAAAACCTTTACCATCATAATAATTATT